TATATATATAGTATTATGAGCTTTCATCACCTTGAGATACTGGATTGATTATGTATTAAGTAATTAATATTAAGCTTTTATTTACTTCTTCAAATATGTCAGGATGGATGTCACAGGGGTAAAGGTCACAGGGACTTTAGTAAGGCATTTGATACGGTCTCGCATGATATTCTTATTGATAAACTAGGCAAATATAACTTAGATAGGGCCACGATAAGGTGGGTGCATAATTGGCTGGATAACCGTAGTCAGAGAGTTGTTGTTAACGGTTCTAAATCCTGCTGGAAAGGGATAACAAGTGGAGTTCCTCAAGGGTCTGTTTTGGGACCCGTACTGTTCAATATCTTCATCAATGATGTAGATATTGGGATAGAGAGTACGCTTATTAAGTTTGCGGATGATACCAAACTGGGTGGGGTTGCAACTTCTTTGGAGGATAGGGACATAATTCAAAATGACCTTAGCAAGTTAGAGAAATGGTCAGAGGTAAACAGGATGAGGTTTAATAAGGAGAAATGCAGAGTGCTCCACTTAGGAAGGAACAATCAGTTCCATACATACAAGATGGGAAGCGACTGTCTAGGAAGGAGCATGGCGGAAAGGGATCTAGGGGTCATAGTGGACCACAAGTTGAATATGAGTCAACAGTGTGATGCTGTTGCCAAAAAAGCAAATATGATTCTAGGTTGTATCAACAGGTGTGTTGTAAGCAAAACTCGTGAAGTCATTCTGCCGCTCTATTCTGCACTAGTTAGGCCTCAGCTGGAGTACTGTGTCCAGTTCTGGGCGCCACATTTCAAGAAAGATGTGGAGAAATTGGAAAGGGTACAGAGAAGAGTGACAAGAATGATTAAAGGTCTAGAGAAGCCTATGAAGCCAGGCTTCATGAACTGGGCTTGTTTAGTTTGGAAAAAAGAAGATTAAGGGGGGACATGATAGTGGTTTTCAAATATCTAAAAGGGTGTCACAAGGAGGAAGGCGAAAATTTGTTCCTCTTGGTTTCTGAGGACAGGACATGGAGTAATGGGCTTAAAGTGCAGCAGGGGAGGTTTAGATTGGACATTAGGAAAACATTCCTAACTGTCAGGGTGGTCAAATATTGGAATAAATTGCCAAGGGAGGTGGTGGAATCTCCCTCTCTGGAGATATTTAAGAACAGGTTAGATAGACATCTGTCAGGGATGGTGTAGATGGAGCTTGGTCCTGCCTTGAGGGCGGGGGGCTGGACTCGATGACCTCTTGAGGTCCCTTCCAGTCCTATTATTCTATGATTCTATGAAAGGCACCTAGTTCTCTTTATACCACTAGTGGAGCTACACTAGTGGTGAATTATGGCTATGAAGTTTGCTAGGGTAGACAATGACTTTGTTCTAAGTTACCCAAAGACCTTCTTGGAGCTAGGTGAACTCCAACAACCCTGCACTCCAGCCCAGAAAGCAAGTTTAGCCTAATTTCACCATTGCCACTTTGCAAAACTTGTTATTGTCAGTATAATCCGTAACGCTTTCCTTGTGAGCCACGTCTATAGTTTCAGCATACATAAAAAAAAATAAAAACCCAAAACCCAAACCCCACTTTTCCAAATAACCTGAGCAAACCAGAAAATCCCTTAAGCATTCAGTGTGTGTTGGGTTCAGCAAATCAAAATGGGTAATAAAAAAAAACGGAATGTGTAAGCTGCGAGATGGGGCTCAATCCTCAGCTGAATCATATTTATGCTCAGGATATCTATGAAGAAGTGTGGGGGAAAAGTAGCTCTGCACCACCTTTCTACTCCCCTGATCCTGGACCAAACTTGGGCTGAAATGGTCTCCAGAACAACTTAGAACAGCCTCGGGGCTGTTGTAAATTACACCAGCTGCAGCCAGCTGCTGAGCTAGCAAAGGATCTGACTAACTGTTATGTGCTGCTCCCCAGATGTGGAGATGGGGGTGCTGGATGGAGTACACAGAGCCAGCTGTGGCAGTTTTGCAGAACCCTTCCTCCGAGTCAGGGGGAATCCTCAGTGACTCCATTAAAGCAGCATTCTGGCTGCTATGTGCTGCCTAAGCAGCACAGAACAGCTGGATTTGGGGGGCGAAGGACTAAGCCCATAAATTTCAGGGCTTTGATTAATTCCTTTCCTCTTTTTCCTAGCAGATGTTAACATTTCCTAAGCAGTTATATGCTACCTTAGTGAGCAGCAAAGAAAATAGAAACCATGTCTAAAGTTACTCAAAGCGTCAATTAGAATAGTATGTACCAGTCGAACGCAACAGCCAAGATTAGATAAGGAGTACATGTCCAGTATGGTACTTGAGAAATTGACAGGAATATGAAAGACATTTTTAACATGTGTTTGTGATACAAGTCTGTTCCACTCAAAGGGGAAATATGTTGTATTTTTGCCTCCAATGCTTCTTCCCGACCTGTCAAGCTAAAACATATTGGAAGAAGCAGAATAATACTGTTCTAATGATTTCACAATTTTCTTCCTACTAGGAAAAGGTTTATATCTCCTCTAAGCCAAACCTCATAGCACCCAGCAACATTGCATTTAACTCTTGCTGCTGCTAACATCTGACTTTCTTGTATATGGCTAAGGACCAAAATGATTTAAGAAATGTATGCAACAAAAATGATGTCATGTTCCCTGGCAGAGGATGTTGGGGTCACAAAATTATTCATATGAAAATACAGCTTGAAAAAAATAGCTTCCCTAGAAAAGGAGCTTATCTGCCTCTCCTGGGAGGACAGACAATGAAATTAAGAGTCAATATTTCTTCATTAATATAACTTTTCCAATTTTAAAACAATCATAGACTTTTAGAACACTAGAACTGGAAAGGACCTCAAGAGGTCATCAAGTCCAGTCCCCTACCCCCATGGCAGAACCAAGCACCGTCTAGACCATTCCTGATAGGTGTCTATCTAACCTGCTCTTAAATATCTCTTCGGATGGAGATTTCACAACCTCCCTCATAATGTATTCAATTGTTTAACAACCCTCACAGTTAGAAAGCTTTTCCTAATGTCCAATCTAAACCTCCCTTGCTTCTTGCTTTATCCTCAGAGGCCAGGAAGAACAAGTTTTCTCCCTCTTCCTTATAACACTATTTTAGGTACTTGAAAATCGCTATCATGTACCCTCTTAGTCTTCTCTTTTCTAAACTAAACACGTCCAATTGTTTCAGTCTTCCCTAATAGCTCATGTTCTCTAGACCTTTAATCATTCTTGTTGCTCTTCTCTGGACCTTCTCCAATTTCTCCACATCTTTCTTGAAACGTGGTGCCCAGAACTGGACACAATACTCCAACTGAGGCCTAATCAGTGAAGTGTAGAGCAGAAGAATGACTTCTCGTGTCTTGCACAACAGTTCTGTTAATTCATCCTAGAATCATGTTTGCTTTTTTTGCAACAGCGTCACACTGTTGACTCATAGTTAGCTTGTGGTCCACAATGACCCCTAGATCCCTTTCTGCAGTCCACCTTCCTAGTCAGCCGCTCCCCATTCTGTATGTGTAAAACTGACTGTTCCTTCCTAAGTGGAGTACTTTGCATTTGTCCTTATTAAACTTCATCCTATTTACCTCAGACCATTGCTCCAGTTTGTCCAGATCATTTTGAATTATGACCCTATCCTCCAAAGCAGTTGCAACCCCTCCCAGCTTGGTATCATCTGCAAATGTAATAAACGTATTCTCTATGCCAAAATCTAAATTGTTGATGAAGATATTGAACAGAACTGGTCCCAAAACAGACCCTTTGGGACCCCACATGTTATGCCCTTCCAGCAGGATTGTGAACCGTTAATAACTACTCTCTGAGAACGGTTATCCAGCCAGTTATGCACTCACCTTATCGTAGCCCCATCTAAGTTGTATTTGCCTAGTTTATTGATAAGATCATGCAAGACTGTATCAAATGCCTTACTAAAGTCTAGGTAAACCACGTCCACAGCTTCTCCCTTATCCACAAGACTTATTATCCTGTCAAAGAAAGATATCAGATTGGTTTGACATGATTTGTTCTTTACAAATCCATGCTGGCTGTTACCTAGCACCTTATTTTTTTCCAGATGTTTGCACATGAATTCCTTCACTACTTGCTCCATTATCTTTCCTGGCACAGAGATTAAACTGACTGATTTGTAGATTCCTTGGTTGTTCTTATTTCCCTTTTTATAGATGGGCACTATATTTGCCCTTTTCCAGTCTTCTGGAATCTCTCCCGTCTTCCATGATTTTTCAAAGATGATAGCTAAAGACTCAGATACCTCCTCTATCAGCTCCTTGAGTATTCTAGGATGCATTTTATCAGGCCCTGATGACTTGCAGACATCTAGCTTTTCTAAGTAATTTTTAACATGTTCTTTTTTATTTCATCTTCTAAACCTACCTCCTTCCCACTAGCATTCACTATATTAGGCATTCCTTCAGCATGAGACTACTTGGTGAAGACCAAAACAAAGAAGTCATAGAGCACCTCTGCCATTTCCAAGTTTCCTCTTATTGTTTCTGCCTCTTCACTTAGCAGTGAGCCTACCCTATCCTTGGTCTTCCCCTTACTTCTAATATATTTATAGAATGTCATCCTGTTACTCTTTCTGACTCTAGCTAGTTAGAGCTCATTTGTGCCTTTGCCTTTCTAATCCTGCCCCTATATACCTGTATTGTTTGCTTATATTCATTCTTTGTAATTGTCCTAGTTTCCACTTTTTATATGACTCTTTTTTTATTTTGAAATCATGCAAGATCTCCTGGTTAAGCCAAGGTGGTCTTTTGCCATACTTTCTATCTTAGCTACACAGAGGAATAGCTTGCTTTTGGGCCCTTAATAATGTCCCTTTGAAAAACTGCTAACTCTCTTCAGTTGTTTTTCCTCTTAGTCTTGCTTCCCATGTGACCTTACCTACCAGCTCTCTGATATACAACTATACATAAGGGTTACAAAAATAGAAGCTGATCAAATATGGGCCTGATTGTGAAAAGAAGCTGTGCGACTGCATGCCATTTGGGATACCTAGATAGCCAGTGCAAGTTCATATACTAACTGGCATGTGCAAGTTCATTTGCTTCTGCAAATACCCAATTTGCACATGTATTCACAATAACTGGAAGTGCAAACTAGGATAGCAATTAGACACACATTTGCTCATGCAACTTTTTTTTTAATGTTTCCCAATATGACCCAACTATTGCAAGCAAAGACCATACTTATATGTAACCAAGAATAAAATCACTGACTGCCACACTGCAGTAACCCCACCCATCTTCTCTGATCTTACATACTTCTCAGTTACACATCTGTATTATTCTTTATGCAAGAAATAAATTGTTCCCATAGCACATACGATTTCTCTATGTAGTCATTAATCTCACATATGTGATGCTCACCTGACAGCATTTCCGCCATGTCAGAATACCAGCCTTTCAGAACGAGAACACATGGGCTTTTCTTCCTCCACAAGATTAATCTCTTTATATAGCTAAGGGCAATCGCAATCCATTTTTTGAAAGTGCTCAGTACTCCCACATGCTAAGGAGAAATCGTGGGGCCACATTTTCTTTTCCTGATTTAAAAAAAAAAGTGCATTATTTCACCTCAATACAAAACAGATTGTATCCTGTGCCTCAAAAATCATATCTCATTCCCAATTCAGATTTACGTTTCATGACCCTGGGGATCTGGGTACCCCATTGTGGAGATCAGTTCCAGTTTTAAAATAATAAGTGCACTCAAAGCCCATAATTAATAAAGCTAATTGAAATTCACCAGCAAAATATTTTCCTACAGAAAAATGGGGTTTCATCAAAAACTTTTTTTTTAAAGAGAAAATGTTGTTTTCCTTCATTTTTAAAGAAAATGTCTATGGGGAATTTCAAGGAAATTTTTGTTCAGTTTTGAACTGTACTTTTCATTTCAATTTGGCTTTTCAGACATAAAATTCAAATGAGAAATTTTGAATAAAAATGTTTCATATACAAATTTTCACTAAAAAAAACCCTATAATTTCTCCACTAGTTTATATACAAATAACGGCCAAATACAAAATGTAAATCTGAAGCCAAATTTGGGCTCTGAGCCTCGTCTTCAAAGCTCCAGGTGTTTACACCCTTCTATTAAAAATATTGCAGCATGGAACAGGCCTCCCAAACACACTACAAAACCCTACTTCAATACAGAAAAACCCTCCTGCCACACATTCCTAGTTGTTTTCTCTCACCCAAAACTAGAATCCACACAGGGTATCATTTCGCATCTACAGCCCATAAAATGGGAACCACATCCCTGAAAGAAATTTTTCCTAAATCCCCTCTTCTAGACTTCAGAGAACCCTGCAATCTCACAAGCTTATCAACAGAAGCAAGCTCCTCATAGACCAGAACACAACACAAAGCAACACCAAACCCTGCCAGAACAGATGTAAAACCTACAGTCACATTTCCATTGCTACAATAATCAATACCCCTACTACACACTTTCCAAGACCCAGGGGGCCTACACATGGCTATCACAACATGTGCAGAACCTCATCCAGTGCACTAAATGCCCCGATAAAAACTATGTGGGGGAAACCAGACAATCATGACATTCTTGAATTAACTTGCACAGAAAACTGAAAAAAGACAAAAACATGGACGAATATTTTTCACAAGTGATCCCTCCTTATCTGACCTCTCAGTCCTCATCTTCAAAGGAAACCTGCACTCCATTTTCAAAGAGGAGCTTAGCACCTTAAATTCATAACTTTGCTAGACTCTAAAAATCACAGTTTAATAAAGACACAGGATTTATGGCTTATTATTACAAGCTGTAACCCTAAACCCTCCCCTTTTTTAATTTTATGATTGGAGAGGTGTAAATACCTATGGGTATGTCTACACTACAGTGCTAATTCGAACTAACTTAGTTTGAATTAGTTAATTCGAACTAAGCTAATTCGAACTAACGCATCTAGAACTAAAAACTAGTTCAAATTAGCGTTTTGCTAATTCGAACTAGAGCGTCCACATTAAGTGGACCCTGAACCGGGGTTAAGGATGGCCGGAAGCAGTGCCGGCAGGGCATCAGAGGAGGACTTCGAGCGTGGAGATGCTGTCTCAGGCTAGCCGAGGGCTGTGCTTAAAGGGTCCTGACCCCCACCCCGGACAGACAGTTCTCAGGGGTGCCCCGCTTGCAAAGCAGTCCTGGCTTGGATTGCCTGGAGTACCCACACTGGGCACATCACAACACTCGGCCATCAGACCGGCTGCACTTGCCGCAGGCTGCCATCTGGGGAGAGGCGGCAATTGGGGGGTTGCAGGAGAGCTTCCACCTCCAGAAGCCCACAGAGCCAGCCCAGTCCTCCCCATCGGGGGCGCGTACCCCATTTCTCCCTCACCTCCTTCCACTGACCCTTCCCTAGCCCCTCTTCTTGATGTACAAAATAAAGGACAATTGTGTTAAAAAATGGAATCTGTCTTTATTGAACAAAACTGGGGGAGACTGGGAAAAGGAGGTGGGAGAGGGGAAGAGAGAGGCTGGGAGAGGGGAGGGCAACTACAATGATGAGGGGTTTGAAACAGGTCCCATATGAAGAGATGCTAAAGAGATTGGGACTTTTCAGCTTAGAAAAGAGGAGATGGAGGGGGGATATGATAGAGGTCTATAAAAGCATGAGTGGAGTGGAGAGGGTGCATACAGAAAAGTTCTTCATTAGTTCTCATAATATAAGGACTAGAGGACACCAAAGGAAAGGAATGGGTAGCAGGCTTCAAACTAGTAA